TGGGCGGGGTGGTCGGGGGGAGAGGGAGAGGGTGAGGGAGGGTAAGGAGGCGGTGCGGGGCGGGGTTGCGGCGAGATGGGAGAGGGGGAGGTGAGGAGGGAGGGGGCAGGGGGCGCGCGTGCGTGCATCACATGCACGCCGGCGCATGCTGCAGCAGCCGCAGCAGCGCCGCCGCCCGGCGGGCCCGCCCCACGCGCCTCTGGGGTGAGCGCGGGCGAGGGCGCCTCCTCCAGCAGCTTCTGGTTGCGGCGCTGGATGGAGCAGTCGCGCTCCCCCAGGTGCACCACGTTGCCAAACTTGTCGGCCAGCACCTGCGGGGCGAGGGACGGAGGGAGGGGCGGGGATGCGCGCGTGAGAGGCACGTCGGGCGGGGGAGCCGGCTGTGTGGCGCCAGCCCGCACCAAAGCACGGCCTGCGGAACCCTTCTGCTTCTCTCTGCCGGCCAGCCAGCACCAGCCCGGCACACGGCCCCCAGCCCCCCAGGCCAGCCCCAGCCCCAGCCCAGCACACGGCTCCCAGCAAACCTGCCGCCACAGCACCCCAAGCACCTGCCCCAGCCCCAGCCTCCCCACCCCCACCACCACCCCCACCCCACACCCCCACCTGGAACTCGATGTGCCGCGGGTTGTTGACGTATCGCTCCAGGTACACGGCGCCGTTGCCAAACGCCGCCTCCGCCTCCTGCTGCGCCTGGCCCAGCAGCGGCAGGAACTCGTCCTCGGTCATGGCCAGCCGCATGCCGCGCCCGCCGCCGCCAGCCGTGGCCTTGATCATGATGGGGAAGCCGACCTGGGCGGCCACCACCACAGCATCCTCAGCGTCCTTGATCAGGCCGTCGGAGCCCGGCACGGTGGGCACGCCCGCGTTCTGCGGGGGCGGCGGGGCGGCAGGCGGTCGTGTGTGTGTGCGTGTGCGCGCGTGTGTGTGTGCAGGCGGCGGTGGCAGCGGTTCGGCCGCCGCGCCGCTGCTGCCACGATGCTGCCCCTGCCTGCTGCCCTCCCTGTCCTTGTCCTGTTCTGCTATTGCTGATTTTAGGAATCCTTGCTCCACCCCCTTGCCCCACAAGGCCCCCACACCTCACCACCACCACCACCACCACACCCCCACCCCCACCCCCACCAACCTTCATCGTGTCGCGCGCCGTCGACTTGTCTCCCATGATGCGGATGGAGTCGGACTTGGGCCCGATGAACTCCAGGCCGTGGTCGGCGCAGATGTCCACAAAGGTGGCGTTCTCAGACAGGAAGCCGTAGCCCTGCGGGGGGCGAGAAGCACAGAGGGAGACAGGAGGTGGAGGAAAGGAGAGCAGGAGGGGGGCGGCGGAGGGTGGGTGGATGGGCGCGTGGATGGGCGTGCCTCGCCCATGGCGTGGGGAAGGAGGAAGGCGGCTGCGCGGGGGGCGGCGGCGCCGGGGAGCGGGGAGGGGAGGCGCGGCGGGCGCGAGCAGACGCGAGCAGGCGGGTGGTCCGGGCGCGGCGGCAGTACAGCGCCGCCTCCCGGCTGGCAGCAGCGGGTCTCACCGGGTGGATGGCGTCTGCGCCGCGGCTGACGGCGGCGGAGATGATGGAAGGGATGGAGAGGTAAGACTCGGAGCTGGGCGCCTCGCCGATACACACAGCCTCGTCAGCCAGCTGCGCACGCGGCAGGCAGGGCAGGCAAGGCGGGCGTGAGACGGGGTGTGGGGTAAGGTTGGGTGGCGGCCAGAATGGGGCCGCGCGGCAGCGGGCGCGGCTGCGGCGTGCTGGGCAGGGCAAGGGCAGCGCAGGGGGGGCGGGCGATCGGCAGCCGGCCGCCAGGTAGGCGCAGGGGCGGGAGGCGGCGGGGGGCCTGGGGCTGACGCAGCGGCGCCGACGGCGGCGGCGGCGGCGGGCTGCCCCGCCTCGCACCTGGACGTGCAGGCAGTCCTTGTCTGCCGTGGAGTAGACTGCCACGGTCTGCAGGCCCAGCTCGCGGCAGGCGCGGATGACGCGCACCGCAATCTCGCCGCGGTTGGCAATCAGCACCTTTTTGATCTCCTTCTGCTCCGCCACCGTCGCCACGCTGGGCGCTGCGGTGCGCCGGCCGGCGTGGCGCGCGGCCGCCGCCGAGGCCTGCTGCCTCAGGGGGGCGCGGCACACGAAGTCGCCGCCCTCGGCCGCCACAAACTCGCTGCGGAGGGAGGCAGCGGCGGCGGCGGCGCGCGGGGCGGCCGCCCGCTGCTGCGCCCTGCTGCCCACCACTGCCCTCGCCACGGCCTGCACAGCGGGACCCGGGGGCCGGCAGGGATCGCCACAATTCAGTCACGAAGCGGCAGGCCCGCTGGCAGCGTCGATTGACAAACTGGCAGCCCGGCACCGACCTGCCCATGGAGCTGGGACTGTGCAAGCGTCGCCTGCATGTTTGGCGCCCTCCAGTCACTCCGGCAGTGCCAATGTGCGAGGGATGACGCACTGCAGCGCTAATTGGAGCCCATCGGCAGTCTCCCACTGCATGAGGGTGGGCTGGCGCGGGCCTGGGACAGCAGGCAGCATGGGGTGGCTGGGGTGCCTGCCCCCTCCATCTCCGCGTCATTGCCGCATCGGTGCTCAATTCCAACCCAGCCAGCCGTGCTGCTAGCCCTCCACATGGGCTTGGGCCTCTCCGAAAACTTCTAGTGCTGCTGCGGCTCCTATCGCTCACAGCAGACCGGGGCTAATGTTGCGACAAACCCTGCAGCGCCCTGGGCCGGTGGCGGCCCCCGCCAGGCCCATGGCCCGCTGCCTGCAGCGCCACCAGCGCCCTCAGCAACTGGGCAGCGCCCCTGGGCCTGCCAGGGCGCCCACCAGGTGTAGCCAAGGGCACATGGCGCGGCAGTCGCCCCGAAGGTGCGCGCTGCTGGTGCAAACCTACTGGCAGCGTGGGCGGGAGGTGCCGCCTGCCGCCACAGTCCCTGGGCAGGAGGGCAACAGGGGGCCAAGCGCACCACCTGCTGCCCTGCGCCGCGATGACAAGCATGGCAGCGCCGCCGCTGGTGGGTGCAGGGATGTGGCCTCCACCAGATGCCGCTTCCTGCGCGGCAGCGACGGACCGCTGGGTCGCCCCTGGGTTGCCATCGCGGCCTGCCGCCGCGGCAGGAAGGTCGTCGTCTCCGCCACTCTGGTGAGCTCGCTGCACCCACCAGCAGGGGGGCAGCCAGCAGAAACAGTTGGTGGGCCCAGAGGCAGCCGCCTGCTGTGACCGGGCCCTCAGAACCCTCCCCTGCCGCGCCTCGGCGCGGCGCCCGAGGTTCCGGAGGCGCCTGCCGCTCCGCCCTGCACCTCTCCCTGTGTGGCTGGCCTTGCCTGCCTGCATGCCTGCCTGCATGCATGCCTGCATGCGTGCAGCGCCGCTGCCAGCGTGGCTGGGCATCGACGCCCCGCTGCCTGCCGCTGTGGCGCGCGTGCTGCCGCAGGTGGAGGCGGGCGGCAGCAGCCGAGCGGGCGAGGAGCTGCTGGGCCTGCAGCTGCAGCAGAACGAGGCGCTGCAGCTGGGCGCGCTGGAGAACGGGCTGCGCTACGTCATCCTGCCCAACCGCTCGCCGCCGGCGCGCTTCGAGGCGCACCTGGAGATACACGCGGGGTCGGGTGCGCGCCCGCCGCAGCAGCCGTGGTTCCGCGCGTTGTAGCGGCGTGTGTTGCTGCGGCAGCTTGGGTGTCGCTGCGGCAGCATGGGGCGGTTCGGCAGCAGCAGGGGTGGCCAGCGGAGGCGGCACGCCGCGCCCAGCGCTCGCCGGGACGAGCTGCTGGCTGGCTGCCTGCCTGCCTGCCTGCCGGTGCCGGTGCCGATTCCGGTGCTTACCAGCTGCATGGGCCCCTGCCTCCCGCCGCCGCGGCGTTGCAGTGGACGAGGGTGAGCGGGAGCAGGGCATAGCGCACCTGGTGGAGCATGTCACCTTCCTGGGCAGCAAGAAGCGGGAGGGGCTGCTGGGCACGGGAGCCAGGTGCGGCGGGGCGGGGCGGGGCGGGGCGGGGTGGGCGGGCTGGCACGCGTGGCAGATTATCAATAAGCGTCAGGCCCGCTGCACGCACACTGTGCCGCATGCCTGCCGTTCACAGCGGCCTGCCGTCGGCGCCGCCGCCGCTGCTGCGGTCCTGTGCCTTGCTGCTACGGTCCCACCACCACCACCACCAAAGCTGCCACCGAAGCCACCAGCACTGCTGCCCCACCCTGTCTCCCGAGCAGGTCCAACGCCTATACCGACTTCCACCACACCGTCTTTCACGTCCACGCGCCAGACAGGAACGGCAACACGGGGCAGCCCATGCTGTGGCAGGTGCGGGGAGCGGGGCTGGGCAAGCGCGGGGCGCGGGGCCGCGGGCCGCCGCCCAGCCCCTTCTGCTCCCAGGGCGCGTAGCGCGCGGCGCGGGAGAGCAGGCAGAGAGCTGTGGGGGGGAGGGCCCGGCCTCGGCCTGGCAGCGCCTGGCCGCCGGCTGGGCTGGACGCCGCCGCCTGCTGCGCGCCTCCTGCCCCGCTCTCAACCTCTGCCCGCGGCCCGCCGCCCGCGCGCCCGCCTGCAGGTGCTGGACGCGCTCACGGAGGTGGCCTTTGAGCCCGAGTTCCTGCCCTCGCGCATCGAGAAGGAGCGCAAGGCGGTGGTGGCGGAGGCGCAGATGATGAACACGATTGAGTACCGCGTGGACTGCCAGCTGCTGCAGTACCTGCACTGGGAGAACGCGCTGGGCTGCCGCTTCCCCATCGGCAAGACGGACCAGTTGCGGTGTGTGTGTGTGTGTGGTGTGTATGGGTGTGTGGTGTGCAGGTGTGTGGTGTGTGGTGTGTGTATGCTCTGTGTGTGTGTGTGCGCTTCGCGGACCTGCTGGTGGCGGGCTTGGCGGGCGGGGCGAGGCACGCTGCTGCGGCACGCCGCCGCGGCGGCTGGGCTGCGGCCTGGCGGCGCCATTCCCCCCCGCCGCGCTGCCACATGCCCGCCATGACACGTGCTCACGGCGCGTGTGTGCGTGTGTGCCCCCTGCTGCAGGTGGAGCAGTGGGAGCGGGAGGAGATCATGGGCTTCTGGGCGCGCCACTACTTCCCAGCCAACGCAACGGTGTATGTGGTGGGGGACGTCGATGTGGAGGTGAGCGCTGTGTGAGGGCTGGCTGGCTGGCCTGTGCCTGGCCTGGCCTGTGGCTGGCTGGCTGCTGGCTGCAAAGGGCCGGGGAAGAGGAGAAGGGCGGAAGGCAGTGGGGGAAGGGAGGAGGAGGAGCAGGCCACGACTGGTGGGGGAGCAGCGGGGCTGCAAGCGCTGCGCCAGCCGCGCTGCGGCTGGCCCTGCCGGAGCTGTGCTGCAACAGGCGCCCCCTCGCCTCCTTTCTTTCCCTGGCTCCCGCCTGCAGCACACCAAGGACCTCATCCAGCAGACCTTTGGCCGCATCCCTCCCTCCCTCAACCAGCCCAGCCCCGCCGCCGCCTCGGTCAACGCCGAGCTGCTGGCCGACGCGGCGGCGGCGGCCGCCGCCAGCGCCAACGGCAGCAGCAACGGCAACGGCGCGGCGGCGGCGCAGGCGGCCCCAGAGGCGACGGTGCTCAGCTCAGAGTCGCTTTCGGAAGGGGAGGGGGCGCCCCCGTCTGGCGGCGCCAGCGCCAGCGGCGCGCCCAACGGCGCCATCCTGGGCACCCTGGCGCGGCAGCGGGGCATGGTGCGCCCGCCAGGCCCGCCTGGTGCCGCCCCGCTGCTTCCCTCGGCA